GGGCTGGAGTCTGCGTCGTGCGTGGTGTGGGGTGCAGGGTGCACGCTGGGCTGCAGCCTTCTCTCCGCTCAGTTTGTCCCGTGTGTGTGTGTGTGTGTTTGGTTGGTTGGTTGTTTGCCGTACCTCTCGCTTCTCTCTTGCTGCTCGCTTCTTCCGTCACCGTGCAGGTCAGTCCAACGCCTTCAAGCGATCAAACACTCAACAAGAGCCATGAAGCTGATGAGGTACAGCCTGCTGTACTTGTTGGTGGTGTTCGTCCTCTGCTGCTTCCCGTCCGTGTGCGTGACAGCGGCTGGGGGCACTTCGCCCGCCACAACGACAACGACCATAACAGAGGCGCCTGCATCCACAAGTACAACCACGAATACAGCGTCCGCAGCTGCAGCTCCGAAGGCTGACAAGAAGGACGGCAGCCCCGGCGGCCTTCTCTTGGGATGGGCACCGCTGGTGCTCGCCGCATTCACGCTGGCGTACGCCACTGTGGGCTGAGGCGAGGTGTGGGCTTGGAGTGTTGACACTCAAATCCTGGCATCTGTGAGCGTTTCTTGTGGGTCGCCGGTTCATTAACTGAGGGGGTTTCCGGTTTTAATTTTTTTGCTTCTGCTGCCCTGCTGTGTGTTCCGTGTTGTTTCTCTTGCCGGCACGTGGTGTGCATCTCAGCACACTCACATGCGTGAGACGCATGCACGTGTTTGCGTGCGCGCATGTGTTTGTGGATGAGTGTGTGCGCACTGGGGCCCTTTGGTGCAGCTCTTTCTTTTATTATTATTATTATTTGGGCTTTTTTTTGCTCTTTTTGTTGCTGCAGGGGGATATGTGTGTGTGTGCGTGTGTGCTGCCCTCATTTGTATTTCATCTGCCTCGTGGGGTGTGCGTTGCTGGCGCTGGGCCGCTGCGATTTGTTTATTTGCGGTGCCTGTGCGTGTTGCTGCAGCTGTGCTTGTCTCTCCTCCACCGCCTCGTAGATCAGCTTTGCACCGCTAAGCGACTCTACTCACAATGACGACGATGAGGTGCGGTGTGGCGTGCGTCCTGTTGGCACTTGCGCTGTGCTGTAGTTTGTTGGGTGCGAGTGCGGCGGAGAAGGAGGAGGTGGTGCAGGTTGAAGCGGCGTGTGCAGATGTAAATGTAAGCCGGTGGCGACCCATTGGGAAAGATTTGTGGTATAACTGCTCTGAATCATCTTCCGGTTTAAATGCCATGATTTGCAAAATGGGCGACGGAAACTGTCAGGGCAAAGGTTCTGAAAGTGACGCAGTTTTCACCATCAACATCAGTCTTATTGATCCAACAACGATGGAGAAGTGGTGGCAGAAAAACGTGGGGAAAGACACGCGGTCTTCTGTTGCAGTTTCACCTACTCTTTCTGAAGGTTCATCGCAGTCGGTTGTGCCGGGTCAAAAAAATGCTGAGAGCCC